AAGAAAGAAAGAAAGAAAGAAAGAAAGAAAGAAAGAAAGAAAGAAAGAAAGAAAGAAAGAAAGAAAGAAAGAAAGAAACCATAGAGAATAAAAGAAAAGAATATACTAACGAAAGAGAAAAGAAATATATAAAGAATTTACTTCAACCTTCATCACTACAAGTATAAACAATTTTAGTAACTTTTCACCTCCTCTTAATTTACAATCAGTGATTTCTTCAACCCATGTCCCATCTCTTATCTATAAACAAATCCATAAAGCATCATTTCAGTAATTTTGGTGTCAGCAAAAGTCCATTAAGGGTTGTCAGAAATAACCACATATCTATTTTAACCTTGATCAAATAAACCAACTTTATATTCCTTTTACTTCTAATGATCTTAATCTTTAATCCATTCAAGTAATGTCATAGAACTTGATTTAGTTTCATTTCTTTTTTGCCCCTTCTCACAAGATTCATCCAAGCTTTAACAAACCTCTTTTGTAAACCCAATATAAAAGAATTATCCAGGTCATTCTCTTGGTTTATTATTTGTAATTCCTTTTTGATTTTTAAAGAATCAACCAATTTCTTTTCTATGTCCAATGAGACATCTTTTTCCATATCATTCTTGTAGCCTGTCATTTGTAGATCCACTTTCAGTGTCCACACTGTCTCTGTGTTGTCAGATAAAACTTGTTCCTCTTCTGCTATTTCTTCTAGAACATCCACAGGAAGGATTCTTTATAATTAATTCCAAAATCTTAAACCTGGATCCTTAATCCATTTATAACTTTCTAAAACCAAAGTCTTAATTAGCTTTTTGCTGTTTATTTAAATTTTTAAAAGTTCTTAAGCTTGTAATTAAAATTGTCTTTCATTAAGGATTGAAGGCAGACTCACCTGTTTTCAGACTTGTTGATCCAAAGGTCTCTAATAGGTGAAAAGTAGTTAATAAGCAATTTCCAAATGTGATTAGAAAAGGAAGTGAACTTAGTGTCCTTTTAAAGGTACCGACCGCAGTTTGAGTGAGATGGCTATTCCCTCATCTCCCAGTGCTCAAAACCTGCCAGAGACCACTGTCTTATGGTTTCCTCGCAAGGAGCAACTGTCTGGAGCACTTGTGGGGAATCTCCCTTCCTCTCTTTGTCCTTTTTCTTAATGCAAGGTTTTAAACTAAGCATTTTTCTATTAGAAGTTATCCGATCACTACTCAACATACCAACTTTGCTGTGGTGCCTCCATGTCTTGAGGAAGATATATGAAGAGTGCTGCTGGTGATATGGAAAGCCAGCCTGCATTCTTATCCTTTCCCTTTGCAGTCTAAAGGCAGGATCTGTTTAGTGGAGATGCACATGAAGGCTACCATAAAAAGAAGTTTCTGGAATTACTAGAATTTTCAGAAGTTCTGTGTTTTTGTATTTTGAAATTTCTCAAGAACCCTAGTGAAGTAGAATATAAATATTTTAAGATGTTAAGTAATTTCCATGCTCTGAAATCATACAAAAGTTACTATAGCTTGCATGGCCTACATTTTGGCTAGATTACCTCTAGTGATAGTTTAGCAAGTGCTGGTTTTTGTTGATACTCTTCTTTGTTTATTCTTTGTGTAGACAACCTCCATCAAAGCCTGTCAGGCCAAGTTGGACTGGCTTGAAAATACTAAAGATCCTACTGCACAAGACTTTATTGATCAGAAACAGCAGTTGGAGGACATAATGCTTCCTATCTTCACAAAGTTGGCTACGCCACGTGAGTACTTGAAGCTTCCGTTTGGATAAAAGAGTTTTTTTACCTTTTTAATTACTGCTTTATTTTCAGGAAATGTTTTCTGCAGGCCCATGTCAGGTATTGAACTTTGCATAATCCATAATAAACTTCTCTTAGAGATTTACTTCTGCCTTCCAATTTGTTAGTTAAGTTTACTGAAAACCTCACTCCATTTCCTTTTAGCATTTCCAATGCCCCTGTAATATGACAAATATACAGGTAGTCCTTGCTTAATGACTATAATTGGGACCAGCAATTCTGTCATGTGACACTGTCGTTAAGCAAAACATCATGTGACCATGCTGGACTTACATCACTCCCACTGCAGTTGTTAAGCTAATCACCATGGGTTGTTAAGCAAGACATCACATGACCATGACTTGCAGTTTCACTGCTGGCTTTTCCATTTACTTGTTGGAAGCTGGTTGCGAAGTGCCCAAATTTCAATCATGTGACGATGGGGATGCTGCGATGGTCATAAGTGCAAGGACCAGTCATAAAGTTACTTTTTCAGCACCATCATAACTTCAAAGTCACTAAACAGGGTAGTTGTTAAGCGAGGACTACCTTTATTTAATAGTATCTTGAGCGATTGAAGGGTTGAATATGGATAACTTTGTTGCATTTCTTAAGGGCAAATTCTAAATCTAAATAAATTAAGCTAAGCTATCAAATCAGCTTCTGTGAATCAAAGTATTTCACTTATTCCACACAAAAAAAATACTCTTCAATCACTGAATGTTAGAATAATTGCAATACCATGGATTGGATTTCCACTCACAAAACAATTCTGTGCCTTACAATAAAACAAAATAATGTATGTCCCTCTAGGTTACAGAGGGTTACGTGATATGCAAGCAGTTTCCAACTCTATACATTCCCACTGTTCTCAAATTCCACAAAATTCAGGATTGTAAAAAGGAAATGCATTGTTCAAATACACATGTGTACATTGCATAACTGATTATGGCAAAAAGTGTGCAATTTCCCTCATGTGCCAAAAGTGTGTTTTATTAATTTTATCTGGACCTCTTAGAATTACAAAATATACTTCTCCTTTTCTCCAGTTGATAACAAAGAAGGCAATGTGACAGTCCCATCCATGGCAGCCACTGGTCTCACACCAATGTTCCACTGCTTATCAGCAAGCATACCTGGCTTTTACTGCCCACATTCCCCTCTAAGCAGGCAAGCCACAAACCTTCATCACTAGAGCTCCTTTCACATAAATCCAGTCACTGCCACTGCTGGCTGCTTGCCACATCAGCCACATCCATCAGGAATTCATCAGTGCATTACTTTGAGCTGGCCAAGCAGCTGTGCTCCCTTCCAACCTACATGCACTCCATGAGTGTGGCAATATTGGAGCTTTCATTTATTTATGATCAAAGATCAATCGAACACAATCACATAAAACCAAATAAAAGGCAATATAGTAAGATCCCTGTAATTAATAAAATGAATCAAATATATTTGGACATCTCCAATGTTAAAACAAGAGCCTTCTTACAACAATTACAATCCCATAAAATTTGGCAACCCTCCTAGATATTTCTGAATATAAATAGCAAGGATTTCACTAGCACTTTATTTCTTCTCACCAATTGCTTAACAAGAGCATTATTAGTTCAAGAAGCCAGAGGGCAGCATAGCAAAACATACAATACTGTCTCAGTCATCCCAATACAAAAGAAACAGTGTAATGAGCTGCCACCTGTGCAGGATTCTGACACACTGGCAACCTTGGGATACAATATGATTCAACTACCCATGGCAGAACATTAAATCTAGCAAGTGATAATGCTGTTCTATATGAGATGGAGTGGATGTTATTAGAATAGGTAGGTAATTTGAAGGTTCTACCACAAAGGTTTCCATTACAACAGTGAGAAACTTTATTGTTGTTATCTCTATAAATCAAAATCAAGGACTCACCGTTTAATTCTAAGGTGATTCTGCCAAAATTTATTAACATCAAGAACAGAGGTGAGGGCCCATAATAATTTAAATCTGAAACTCTGCCTTTCTTCCAAGGCAAACAGACTTATCAGCAGGGACCAACTGAACTAAAAATTCTTCCAGAAGGATTAAGATAACTGAAACATTAGCAGAGAGGTAGATGGATATAGATTCTACTAGATTTGGAAGGCAAAACTTATTTTTAGAAAGAATTTGAATGATGGACCTATGTTGCATAAATTGCATTAACATATTATTTGACATATTTGAGAATGAGTGAACAGTAACACATAAACATTTTAACTGCTTTATTTTCTGAATAAGCTAAATAAAAAAGGACACATCTTTGTTAAACCCATCCCATACCTTAAGCATAAACAAAGTTAACACAAGTTTTTCTGAATTAAGTTTTAATTAATACAGTGGATTAAAATGAAAATCCCAAATAATACTAACAGTTTATTCAGTGTATTTTGTAAACTGAACCTAAAAATCTTTATTTCTGATAATTTTGCAAACATAATGCAAGGTTTGAATTTTTTACACATGACAGAAATTGTTTCCCATTAATGGGTAAAAAAATGGAAAGAGTTAATCTACTGTTCATGAAGCATAATTGTATGTGGCTAGAGAATAGAAAATAGATTAAAGAAAAATCTGTACTGATGTAAAGTGGCAAATTCAATTCCAAGAAGAGGGTCAGGAAAACTGATTACATTTGAACAAAACAAGGCAAAACTGACTGGCTGATGCTGTAAGCCACACCAGTCACTGGGTTAAAAGAAATAATAGATACTTTGCTTCCCTTTTGCAACAGCCTCTCAAAGTATGTTTCCACACAATTAAAGCAACCTTTCCTGCAAAGTCCCAGTGATCAGCTTTCTGGCTTGTATGATTTCTCTTCACAACTGCTATTGAGGTTGAGAGGTATAACGAAGATAATTCTTGCCCGATGGAAGTTGCTTAGTGCAAACCCCTCCTGGAAACAGCTTTTTGGCTTCTTCATCCGATAAGCTTGGAATAACCATGACCTGGTCTCCAGACTCACAAGGAAAGGGGGAAAAAAAATTAATCAATACGCCTCTTATTTGGATAATATCCCAATTTCCATTATTTGGCAAAGACTAGAACCTTCAGTCTATGAATGCATACTGTATTGTATATGTGAAACACACACTACCATCTTGTACTATATAATTGTATTATATGTTTCTGCTGATACTCTACATTTCAAATTATGATGGACATTTCTATAACTGAAATGTCTAATATGCTTCATATAGTTGCCTAATACATTCATACGGTTGCACAAATCTAAGAACAGGATTTAGTTGACTGTATCTCACATATTACCTCAATTCAGAACAAGAGAAATACTTCAAGTATTTGTTACAAGTGTGTGTCCTGAGAATGCAAAAGATAAGAAGTACATGCCAAGGAGTTCTTGCCACAACTCTTAAAAAGACAATCTATAGCTAAAACAAGGCTAGTTATTTTGTCTCATATTGCCTTAGACATTTAAAATAATTTACAAACAAGGTTTCTTGTATGTACTCAGAAACAGGCAATTTACAGAACAATTTCCCTCATGCCCATAAAACATATCACCAAATTGGAATACTCTTCCACAGATATTCAAACCTCTTGTCATGGCTTTCCAAACAGAAGCAAAATTTACCAAGATTTCACAAGGTTTCTTTATCATTTTTCCTCTTGCCCCCTGCACTTTCAACTGATGACCTTATGGGCATTATAGGACCTGTATTAGGAAACCCATATTTCAGCTGTATAAATTGCTTTGAAAAAAGTAAACTATACAAATGCAGCAAATTCAGGTTACTCTGAATAATAAATATATAAAACTACCCCAAATATTTTAATATGCAAAAAAAAAGGAATGATTATTAGTGGAGATGCTACAAAGAACAACAAGGCACAAGAGCCTAAACCAGAATACAATTATCAGGAATTGAAGACTGTGTACAAGAGATTATGCCTGAGGAGCCCAAAGATTGATTACAGGGCTTTCATAAATATGTCAATATTTTTTTTGAAAAAATTCTCAGCATCAGGACCAGGAACACTTCCATTTAGGATGCTAATTGTGTTCTCACAACACTAACTGTACTGTCAGGAGATATTTCTCTGATAACTTCATGCAGCTCATTATGCAGTCTATTTGAATTTTTTTATATTTAGCAACTCCCACAATATTTAGAAAGAATCTGTTTCAACAACTTTTACTTTATCTGAGTAAAACTTTGGATTAAGTGGATTTAAACAAACAAACAGCTACCTTCCAATCAACTGGTGTAGCAACTTTCTTAACAGCTGTTAATTGCAGGGAGTCAACAACTCTTAGAATCTCATCAAAGTTTCTGCCAGTGGTTGCTGGGTACAGGATAGAGAGTTTGAGCTTCTTATCTGGGCCAAAAACGAATACCTATAGAGCAAAGTTACAGAATTCTAAATAAAACATATCTCATAAATTACTGTTCTACAAACCATCTACTTCTTGGCAATCTTTTGTGGAATTATAATTCTCCATCTCTTTAGTGTTATATTTTCCCTATGGCAAATAGCAAATTATTTGGGCAATGCATTTAGTAAAATGGAATTCTTGGATAGGAATTGTTCCACTTAGCCTTTGAGGCTAAAGTTCTTGTCCAAAATAATTTACCCTGCATTTGTAATCCTAAACTTGGCACCATTGTGATATGTTTTCTTTGTCATTAAATGAGAGGCATCTCAAATGAGTTTCAAATATTTATGTAAGATTACAAGTGCTCTGTACAAAGGAAATTTGAGAAATAGATGGGAATGTTCCTGTACAATGAAAACAATTCTTTTGAAATGGTTGCTGTGTAAACTTAGGTAGCTCTCTTATTTCACTGGGACTTATTCAGGTGTGACAGCGCCGAGTACTCAAAACACAGGGTGGTTCCTCCCTCCTCCTGTTTTTATATCTTTTAAAAAAAAGTTTAATAAAAAAATACATGAGAATAAAAGCAAAGCACAAAAAGGGCAGATTAGTACAGGTAGTCCTCACTTAACGACCATTTGTTTAACAATGGTTTGAAGTTATGACAGCCTCAGAAAAAGTGCTTTACAACCTGCACTTGCACTTATGACTGTTGCAAACTGTTGCATCACCCCTGCAGTCATGTGATTGTGATCTGTGAAATTTTTATGAGTCATTAAGTAAATCACCGTGGTCATAAAGTGAATCACATGATTGCTAAGCGAATTATGTCAAAAAAAGTCCATTGGGGAAGCTGGTTTCGCTGAATGACATGATTCGCGTAATGACTGTGATTTGCTTAACAACTGTCATAAAAATGGTTGTAAAATCAGGTCCAGTCACGTACTGATTTGCTTAATGACTGCCCTGCTTAGTGACCAATTTTCTGGTCCCTATTGTGGTCATTAAGCGAGGACTACCTGTAAGTCTCACACCAACTGAAAAATGAGAGGAAAATCCATCCATTAACTTATTTATTTTTTTAGTCTAAAATGGAGCTTAGCAACTATGGCTTATTATTTTTCTCAATTTCTGGAATCTGTTTTATATGGTTGGGTTTCTAAATAATATTACCTATTACTCTAACTTTATTATTTCATAACCCATCCTGTTTCAACTAGATATGTCAGCAATCTTATTTCTTGCAGACACGCTTATCAGCTACATGAGGAGGCCTGATGGACCACAGGCTCCTCATCTGGTTAAATAATAACAGATTAAATAGAAATAATGCAATAAATAGTATATAAGCAATTGAGAAAGCTGCAGCCTGCAGGAACACAATGTTAAATGGACACTGGATACTTACCACACGAGCAGTCAAAGGCATTCCATCTTTGTCTTTCTCATCTGGATCCAGCATGCCGAGTTGGACTGAAAGTTCCCGATTTGCATCAGCAATTATTGGAAAGGGGAGTTTGTCTGTAGCCTTATCACCGTTGTAGGCATTGATGTCCTGCAGGATGGGAAAATTTAGTGTTTTATCACAAACTTGCTCAATTACAATTAGCGCAAAGTCAGATCTGTACAAAAACTTAGTGCTATTTCTTTTATTTAGTTATAAAAACATTTGTAGTTTTCAAAAGCCCTCCATGTAGTTTATAAAAATGATTAAAACACTCAAAAGAGACATTAAGCCAGAATAACCCAAATAAACAAAAAACATAGGTTAATAAAAAAAATAGCAACATGTTGCAAGGCAGGCAGCCTATCTTTTGAGACATTCCATTCCATTCATACAGATTTTGGTACTAATAAAAAAATGTGAAAAGTCAGAGTCAAAATGGGGAGACTAAGATTTATATCTGTACATCTGTTCTAGATGAGCAATTTATTTTTTGAAGTACTGGCTCTCCACAGTACTGACCACTGATACAAGAAGCCAATCACTAGCCTCCTAGCTGAAATGTCATACCTGTACCTTCCAGGATTGGTTGTTTTCATCTTACCCTAGTTTCTTGCACAAGATGTAAAGCAGGGAAGCAGAAAATTTGGGGGCCTAGGGCCACAATTCTAGTTAGGCAACTAGGTAGTGGTTATGTACTGCCAGCAGAAGGAAGATTCAAACAAAAACATGTTGGGGGTATTTTCCATTTGTCTGGAGACAATACTGGCATACTTTATGATTAATCGAGATATATTTTATGGTTAATACAGGTGGACAAGACTCCACTGTCAAAAAAACTTGAATGCTTTTTGGTAAGTGAAATTTTGACCTACATGTGGGTCATACAGCACATCCAGCAGCTAGCCAGATCTCAAAAAAACTAGCAGAGTTGTTAGTTAGATAAGAAACAATCAGGAAATCCCAGGGCAATCTAGACTGAAAAATAAAAAATATAACCTGGAAGAAGGCAGTGGCAAACCATTTCTCTACTATTACCAAGGAAAGAACATGGACTCCCTGTAGTACTCAAGAACCAAACTCAATCTGAGATGTTCTCTTTCCATGCTTCCATGAATGCTTCCCAAATGCCCCATAATCTACAGTATATGGTTGCATCAGATGGCTGGACCACAGATATGAAGAGTCAGACATTATTTTAATTGCCTACTAAATGCAAGTGCACTAAGAGGATGTGGACAAATAATTACCATAAAAAGGGTAGAGTAGGCAGTAGCAGATGTGACAAGAGCAGCACACTTTTGTGTACTTTTTGGGAAGGGGAGCAAGCAAATCCGGTTATCATATATGCCACTGAATATTTTTGCTTTTTCTCATTTAACAATTTGTCTGAACTTTATGTATAAACTGCAAGACAAAAACTTTCCTGGTTTCATTTTTAACTGAGTAAAAAAAAAAAATTAAATAACATCACCTTTTTGAATATTGCTTTTGATGCATAAGATTTTTAACTGAAAGTCAAATTAATCTACATGCATAATTTACTGATCTGCAGCTACAGCTCTATAAGGTCAATTTTGCACACTTGTATTTTGTGCATATGAAACAATGATTTCTTTCTAAATTTTCTGAAGTTTAGAAAGAAATCATTGTTTTAAATTTTCTTTTAAAAAAATTCCCCATAGGAGAAGAGTTAAGTTATTACAACACAGAGAGCATCTTGAGATTCCTTTGAGGATTCAGCACAAAAATACCTACTCATTTATCCACTATGTTTCTTCTAAAAAGAGACAACCATAATTTATTTTTTTTAGAAATCAGGGTTGACTTTTTATTTTAGTAATTTTCATATCCTGTTTTCAACCAGTACATAGGCAATGTTTGCTAGTGCTCCCTAGAAAAGGAATTGTTTTTCCAGTTTCTGGAAAAGCAGCTGAACAATAATTTAAAAAATCTGTAAACAGCAGCAGTATAACCACATTACTGGAGTCATCTAATGTTACTAAGGAATACTTTCAAATGATCTAATAAAAGTTTTACGGTGCTGCTGTTTGGATCAAAATGGTTATTTTTATTTTGTTTATAAGAAATTAGTGATTATTTCTGTAGAAGCACTTATTTCCAGTTTTAAAAAAAGATAATAGTAAATACAACACAAGATTATACAGCTTGTGTTAAGAATGTATTTTGTTATGCATATTTAATTACTCTATTAATATCCAGGGAATAATAGAACAATTAAATATGCATAACCAAACACATTCTTAAGTTGAATTTGGTCTATGTGCACTTCAAGGTTAGAGTTCAGAAAGTGCAAGCAGTCTTGGAAAGAGTGCACCTCTGCATGAAATGTTTAGCTCTTACTAGCACTGACAAAAATACAACTGCAGAACAAGTAAACTATGTATTTACGTTCCAAAGATGCTGTCCTTTGCTTGTATTCTCAAGGCAACAAGCTGTCTTGTCAGAGTGGTACTACCAACTATTTAGCACCATGTTTAAATAGCATATTTGACAGCTTTGTTATGCGCTTTTTTTTTCATTTCCTGGTATATACATATCCGAACTTTAACTCTTTTTATCTGTCATGTATTAGAACACTGGAAAGCGTAATGATAAAGTGTTCCTAAAGTCTATTTATGTTGTCACTTTTCTTGTAATAAGGCTATACCTCTGCCTGCAAAATGGAGATAAGTATGTCTAAGTGCTGCAAATGGTGAGGCAGGAACCAGCAGTTTCAAGTTGGACACAACCCTGTTATATAAATACTAACTAGGTGTCTCCCAGTCTCTGGGGTGAGAAGAGAATGACCAAATTTTTGTTCACTCAAAAAGACTGGAGGAAAAGGTCTAGAATTTAAACCCTAGAACCAACTTTTCTGTAGTGCTCAATCTCTCTATGTTCTGCAACAGGCAGATTTTTTAATGGATACATGGCTTATATCTTGTCTGCAGGAAAGCAACTTATCAAGCATGTGTGCCTGCAAACTTCTGCTGTAAGCAAGTTCCTGAATATTGGCTTAAGAGTCCGGAGAGCCGAGATTTATTGTTGTGCTTGGTCTGAAGACTGACAAGTCAGATGTGAATGTATCATGATAAATTAAACTCACCTTTCTGTAAAGAGAATAACAATCAAAACAGTTTCACATTTCTAGTTTCTCTATTTTCCCCCCAAAGTCTGACATACTGTGCAGTGTGGAAAATGTATACAACAGTGGCAAAACACTCCTTCCCTAAACCTCAAAACAAAGTAGAAAGACCCAACTTTCTCCAAATGCTTGATGCTAGCCAGAGAATTTGGTGGAATGAGAGGAAGTTTATTTATTTATTTATTAAATTTATATGCCATCCATCTCCCCCAGAGTTGTTGGGGAGGCTGGCTAGTAAAATATTTAAATGTTTCTGGACTCCTGAAACTTGGATTTGTTAATCCCATTTTTGTTGAATTCTAACCTATAAGAACATTCAAGAGCTTAATATAAAAACAGAACATTATATAACAAATCAATTTGGAGATAATATGCTTATTTTTCTTTAAAAACCTAAGGCAGATTTAACTCCACTACAATCTGAATGGAATAAATTTCATACTGCAGCAGGACTAAACATCAGAGCGGATACATCATCTGCTATTTAATCAATATGGTCTTAAAAAGTGGGAAAATGGCTTCAAGAATCTGTATATACATCTTAGAGAGAGACTCACAATGATCTTTTTTGCTTTTGTTTAGTTTTGTTTTTGATTTTCTCTTCTTACACTTTAAAAAAATCATTGCTTTACTGATAAATATGTTTAAACATGTGAAGACTGCCCTATAGCAATATGTTCACAACTGAACTATGATGCAATTATAAGTAATTATAATTACATACATACATATATTAACAATACTCTATTACATTTAGAGGAAATATAATCCTAAAGTTTTGGGCCTGAAACTTCAAGTTTTGTTCTTTTATTCCTTCACATCTGTTCATGGGACAAAAGAGTGAAATAATTCTATAGCTGTGCCTATGAATATTGGTCTGTCTGCAGATAATTCTCTGGCGCTTATCGGGCTTCCTACCGCAATATATAAATATATTAAAAAACATCTTGAAACTCTGAAGTTATTTTGTTTCAATTACCCACAATTAAACCACAGTTAAAGATTTGAATATAAAGATTATGATTAATCTAAAACCAATGTTGAAGTTTCAATCTCTTTATAATAGAACTACAGAAGAATATGAGTATGCAGGACCAAGGCCATGTATTGTAATGTTAAATTAAAAAGGATGGTCAATCTGTCGTCCTCAATCTCTTTTTCTGTAGCACTTAAAAGCACTTAAATGCAGTGTCATAACTGTCACCAGGTTGTCAAATTCACCAGTGTGTCTTACCACTTGAGACAGAAAACAAAAGAAAACCACAATGAATACTCTAAAATGAACTTTTCTTTTAAAAAGAAAACCTGAAAATCACTGCCCATCCCTCATACATGATGAATCCTGCCCATTTTGTATCAGCACACTACCCACTTCAAATCTGCAAAAACATTAAATGTGAACTATCAAAACATTTTCCATGTCTCGTTGAAAGTAACATTCAAATTCTTTCATTGCTGTCGTTATTTTTTCTCACAATACCTTGCTCCAAGCGAGATGGTCACTGACATTATCAATAGAGAGGGCTATTAATTTAATATTACGCTTGGCAAATTCTGGTGCTAACTTTGCAGCTCGGCCTAGTTCTGTTGTGCACACTGGAGTAAAGTCCCGTGGATGAGAGAAGAGGATGCCCCACCTGAAAGAAAAAGGACCACATGGCAGTTAGCACTGAACCCTAATAAGTCAGAGCAGATTTAAAAAGTCTTTTCAAAGTTTGTTTTCAATTATTGGGCGAACTGTGATATGGCTTGCTGGGGCTGAGAGAACTTGGGGCTAATTGGCACCTAGAAAACTTATAGGTTGGAATACTTAAATGATTTTTTTCCTTAGTGATTTTTACTCCATTTTTCTTTCTCTGATTTTTGAGCTATACAACTCAGCCTTCTCCAACACAATACCCCAGATGAACTGGGATTTAAATCCTATAATCCTGAGCAAACAAAGCATAATCCTCTGTTTGCTAGAAATTATGGGATCTTAAATCAAATTCATCTAGAGGACACCTGGTTGGAGAAGGTTGGGCTAGCCCAAGGCAAAATTCTGGAGAGCTAGAAAGCTTGTACGCCCTGTTATGTTACTTTAATTAATCCTAGGGTTTTTTTTCTTTGCATATCAGCTGAGTTATCTTTGTTCTTTTCACTTATGTTGTAGCGGCCCCTTTATGCAACATCCAGAATTTCATTTAGTTTTCAGTCCCCAGTCACGAACACCTTCTCAACTGAAGCATTACACAGTGCCAAAAATATTATTATCTTGGATAACCCTCATACCATTGCTCCATTAATAGCTAATGCTGCTTCCAACCTCTCCAAACTGGTCTGCCTGCATTTCAAGGTCTTTGGGTGGAATCACACATGTTCATCATACAGACATTTTTCATAGTAGTACATATCTTCCCAAAGTCCTTTGTGCAAGATCCAACTTCTCTTTGGCAATGTATGAGTCAGCAATGCTTAAGTCAAAACTGAATAGTGCAGCCAGTTTCAATAAAAGCAAGAGTTGGCACGTTACATATATGGTGCTATAGTTGCAAACTAACTCTTCCCTTTTTGTTACTTTTTACACATTAAGGATAAAAGAATCAAAGATGTCCATGAAATAAATCTTCTCTTCCAGGAGCTATGGGGTCATTTCAAACAAAATATTGCAAAATTCTAGCACATTGTTATATAATCCAAATTTGAAAAAAATATATTTCAGGTTTAAGAAGTCTCAGAAATGCTTCATTTATGTCTACAATTTCTATCATGATAATTTTTGGCATAATCTGATGCATGAACCTATCTCAAGAGAAAAATACGATTTATACAATTCAATGTTAGCAAATAGTAATCCAAAAAAAGAAGAAAACCTAATTATGACTTATTCAGATGCATGAACTCACTTTAATATTACACACAGGTCACTCATATTATCAAGGATCTGTTAAATCAAAGAGTAACTGGCAAATAGGCAATGGTCATATAATTTCCATTCTGTACACGTATCATATTTTGACGTCACTGTGGCTTATTACAGGTACCTATGGCTGTGTGGGAGACAAAAGATGCTGTAATACTATAAATGTCGCAGATAGTTTGACTGCAATTTGGAGGCTCTAGCAGAAAAGTAGCAAGTCTGTATTGCATTAAGCCACGTTTGGAGACCCTTCAAAGATAATTTTTGGTTTCTGCATGCATACTACAACACTGTAAAACAGCTGCTGACAGCTTTTTTAGTACTACCATCAAACATATGATAGTCAGATGAAAATATAAATTACATTTGCATACAGAAGTTATGTCAGCCAATTCAGGAAGCCTTTTGTTTCTTTTGCAACTATATAATGTTCTGTCCTGCAGCCTTGGCCTACTGCAAAGATTCATTTTGTATTCTAGCTTTTTCCAATTTGGCACCCCCCCAGATTTATCAAACTTCAATTTCTGAAAAACCCAGCCCCCATATCCTTGTCATGCTGGCTGAGAACTATGGGCACTGAATGCCTAGTACTCTGAAAGATGCCAAGCTGGACTCTAGTCAAATAGCCGCTACGGGGGGCGGGGGGACTATTGAGCAACAGGAATCTACCCTTTGCTCTTTTGCCTGTACCTCTGAGAATGAAATGACTTCTCTCAGAGTTGCAATTTAATGCTTAACCTAAGGGATTATATCACTGATTTAAAGAAAACGGAGTTTTGCATTCTCACTAACTTTAAAACCATTGAGTGCTTCAGTTTAAGGCAAAAAGACAAGATGAACAAATGATCTTCAAATGTTTGTATTTCGTGTATTTCCAGAATAATGACATTATTATAAAGGGCTATATTAGAGAAGCATAAATATCTGTACTTTTTAAAAAAATCTAGTTATAAAAATCTAGTTATAAAAATCAACTATTCTGAAATCCATCATCATTATATATTTCTCAGCCTAATGATTAACATGAGCTTGAGAATGACTTCAGTTTTCAATAATCAAAAGAAATCACCCATACAAATGTATGGGTTTGAGTTAGAATGTTCTAACACTATTATAACACTGCTGCTCAAATGAAAAAGAGAATTCCAGCCCATAATCCAGATAGGCTTGCTATTGGCAAAAATTGAGTTAACAAATTTATTGCAGTATGCCTTTAATAAAGTGAAACTGATCAGTTTGAATTTTGCTTATTACCAGACATATGTACTGTACAAGCATTTCTTCTAAGCCTCTATCCTCTTTGTAGCAATCAAATTAAAAATCTTCAACTGCTGTTTCCTATTTTGCTCAAGCCATTATTAGCAGCTTTGAAAAAATCCATACACTGAAAATTATAACCACAGTTTTCTGGGTCAGGCAAAATAAGAAACTGTGGTTACAAGGTTTACTTGATAGGATTACTGTGTGCCTTGTAACCAAAGTTTGTAATAGGTTATTAAACTCTGATTTTTATAAAACCCAAACAGTGGTCAGATTACATGGTAAATTTAAGACTTCCATTACCTTGCCTAGGAAGTGAGGAGCAAAATGGCAGCATATTTGTTAACCAGACCTTTTGGGTTAGTTTGCAGGGCAACGCACAGTTAAAATGTGAAAGGTGCTTTCATGGAAGGGCACAGATACAGCACCTGCCTTCAGTTCTTTAAAGTATCTGCATCTTTTCCTGGGATGCATGGAGAAATCCCAGGAAAAGGTAAGTCTGCTTTAAAAAAGTTACAGGTAGGTGTTATGTTTGTGCCCCCAATACCTCCCAAAAAGCACCTTTTTGAAATTGAATCTGAAGCATTGCACAATCCTACTGTATATATAACACCTCCTTCTCAAGCGGATAATGCATGCATCTGATGAAGTAGATTGTGATCCATGAAAACTTATCTAATACTATGGAATAATAGATAGCAGAAACTATGTCATTTAGACCTCATTGGGACCCTCAAAATAAACATGCCTAGTAAGATTCCCTAATGTAATTAGAGTATTCTTGGTTTCCTCCCCAGAGTCCAAAGAAAAGCTGCTTGTCTCTAACTACAAGGACAGACAACTTAATACCAGAACACTTCCTTGTCCCATCTGATTTTTTTAAGCTCTTCTAATTAAAAAGAGTGAAGCTGACAAAGCCTCTGCTTCTAGCATCATCTTTATTTACAAGAATGCTCTTTGGGCTCTGAGAGTTTTGTTAGAAAATAAAAATGAGGTAATTGTTGCCCAGTGCTTTCTTGGAAATCTATCAATTCACTCAGAAAAATAGACAAATTTAAGCTAGGGTAGTAGAGAACATCTTGTGAACTGGGAAGTGGCCGGGAATCATCTTACCAGCTTGCCTTCTAATAAATGGGTGTTGTGCAACTGGCCAAACTTACCATGGTAACTATTTAATGAAGAGGAATTCCTCCCTTTGGCAACCATTTTGTAAGAGGATCTCCAACATATTCTCAAAATACCAAATGTGTCTCCAGTAATTCAAAAAGATTGCCTACCATGGGTCAACAATTATTTCTATATTACACAGCACAAAATAAATATGAATAGCACACAGCATGTAGCTGCATTTCATGCTACAGAATACATTTAATTGGAAGGATAGCAGAATAAAAGTTGGATTAAGAAACCTTGTATTTTCTTTGATTCCCTGATCCCTGTGATCCAAGTATTGTTAAAACTTCCTCAGGAAAGCAAGCCCACTGTAATACAAACCCAATCTCTTATGTCTAAATCAGTTTTGGCCACAGGTGCTTGCAGAAACAGAGCTTAAGAAGAGGAGGTGGGTATGGTAGACATCCAGTCATTGAAAAGCAGCTGGAAAATACTGGAATTTTATAAACCATACACTATTTTATTTCATACCCTAATGAAATCATGTTCCATCAATTCACCTAAGATTATTTTCTTCCATCAGCACCCTGTAATTTACCACAAGTCTGAAGTACCCCAACCTAAGAATACTGTACCCAGTTACCAAAAATGGGCCCAAGAAAACCTTGCCAAGGGCTATCTGATCCAGCATTCATTTCACTTTTGTGGACAAAACATTTTGGAAAATTCAAAAGAGGGACATGAACAAAGTAATAATTTCTCAGCATATATTATCAGTAGCTGATACTCAAAAGGTTTCTGAGAATTTAGAGCTAATTGCTATATTTACTTAACTCTTTTGAAAGCCACATTTTGTGACAATGAATACAATAACCAACTTATGCAACGTGTGAATGATTTTCTCTCTCTTGTTTGAATTTTCTGCCCAACCAATTTAAATGGGACTCTGTGTTCCAGCCTTAGGATGTAA